AGACAGGTTTCTCTGTGTAGCTTTTTAATCCAGGCTGGCCTTGAACTCAAAGAGATCAGCCTGCCTCTGCCTCCCAAGTGCTAGGATTAAAGACGTGCACCACCACTACCACCCAGCTTTTTTTTTTTTTTTGCTTTTTTTCATTTGGGTGTACATCTCTTAAATCTGTCTACACAGTTGCTGGATTGCACCTCTCTGATGACAATTGGGCCAGGCACCAATCTGGTCACAGGAGAAGGTTAGTTCAGGTTATTTATTTGCTACTTCTAGGAGGTAGGATCCTCCCTGTAGACTTATGGGAGATTCTCCTGCACCAGGCTTCTATTGGACCCTGAAATGCACCCCCTCAGCAGTCCCACTCAGCACCCACTCCCTCCATGCTCTATCCTAACCTTATCACTCATGTCCCCATCCCACCCTCAGTACATTCACAAAATCTCTTCTATTTTCCCTTCCCAGGGTGATCTGGGTCTCTCTGAGTCTGTGGATTGTATCATAGTTATTCTTTATGTTACAGCTAATATCCACTTATGAGTGAGTATATGCCATCTTTTTTTTTTCAGAGTCTGGGTTGCCTCACTTGGGATGAATTTTTCTAGTTCCGTCCATTTGTCTTCAAATTTCCTGATGTCATTGTTTCTAATAACTAAGTGATGCTCCATTATATAAATGTTCTAATTTTTCTTTAGCCATTCCTCCATAGATGGACATCTAGGTTGTTTCCATGTTCTGGCTATTACAATAAAGCTGCTATGATCATAGTTGAATATGTACCCTTGTGGTATGTTTGAGCATCCTTTAGGTATATGCCCAGGAGGGGTGTAGTTGGATCTTCAAGTAGATTGATTCCTAATTTTCTGGGGAACCACCATATTGATTTCCAAATCAGCTGTATAACTTGGCATTCCCACCAGCAATGGAGGAGTGTTCCCCTTGCTCCATATCCTCTCCAGCATGTGATTTTTATCTTAACCATTTTAACAAGTGCAAGACAGAATCTCAGAGTCCTTTCTATTTGCATTTCTCTGATGGCTAAGTATGTTGAACATCTCTTAAAGTGTTTCACTGGCATTTGAGAATCTTCTTCTAAGAATTATCTGTTTGGATGTGTACCTCAAATTTTGATTGGATTATTTGGTTTGTTGTTGTCCAGTCTCTTGAGTTCTTTATATATTTTGGAAATCAGTCCTTTGTCAGATGTAAGGTTAGGTGAAGATCTTTTCCCATTCTCTAGGCTGTCATTTAGTCCTAATGATGGTGATCTTTGCCTTACAGAAACTTTTCAATTTCATGAGGTCCCATTTATTGTCAATTATAGTACCTGTTCTATTGGTGTTCTTTTCAGGAAGTTGTCATATGTGCAAATGCATTCAAGATTATTTCCAACTTTGTCTTCTATTAGGTTTAGTGTATCTGGGTTTATGTTGAAGTCTTTGATCCACTTGAACTTAAGTTTTGTGCAGGATGATAAGTATGGACCAATTTGCATTTTTTAACATGCTCACATTCAGTTAGACCAGCAACATTTGTTGAAGATGCTTTCATTTTCCCATTGTATAATTTTGCTTTCCTTGTCAAAAAAAGGTATCCATAGATGAGTATACGTCTGTGTCTTCTATTTAATTGCGTTGTTCCTCCTGTCTGTTTTTATGCCAATACTATGTGGTTTTCATTATTGTAGCTATGGAGTAGAGCTTGAAATCAGGGATGGCAATACTTCCAGAAGTTCTTTTATTGCGTAGTATTGTTTTAGCTATCCTGGATTTTTTTCTTTTTCCATATGAAGTTTAGTATTATAATTTCCGTAAAGAATTATATTAAGATTTCAATGGGGATTACAATGAATGTGTACATTGCTTTTGGTAAGATTGCCATTTTTACTATGTTAACTCTACCTATCCAGGAGCATGGGAGATCTTTCAGTCTTCTGATATCTTCTTTAATTTCTTTCTGCAGAGACTTGAATTTTTTGTCATACAAGTATTTCACTTGCTTGGTTAGCATTACAAGATATTTTATATTATTTTAGGTACTGTAAAGGATGTTGATTCTCTGATTTCTTTCTTAGCCCATTTATTGGTTATATATAGGAGGGCTACTGATTTTTCTTGAGTTAATCTTGTATTCACTAACTTGACTAAATGTTTTTATAATGTGTAGGAATTCCCTGGTAGATGTTTTTAGAGTCACTTATATATACTATCATATCATTGGCAATAATACTTTGACTTCTTCCTTTTCAATTTGTATCCCCTTGATGTGCTTTTGTTGTCTTATTGCTCTGGCTAGAACTTCAAATACTATATTGACTAGGTATGGAGAGAGTGGAAAACCTTATCTTGTTCCTGATTTTATTGGTATAATTTAAGTTTCTTTCCATTTAATTTGATGTTGGCAATTGGATTGTTGCATATAACTTTTTATTATGTTTAGGGATGCTGTTTGTATCCCTGATCTGTCTAAGACTTTTATCATGAAGGGTCCTGGATTTTGTCAAAGCATCTAAAGAGATGATCATGTGTAATTTTTTCTTTCACTTTTTACATGGTAGATTTCATTGACAGATTTTCATATGTTGAACCATCCCTACATCTCTGTGATGAAGCCTACTTTGTCATGATCTTCTTAATGTGTTTTTGGGTTCAGCTTGCTGGTATTTCATTAAGAATTTTTGCATTAAGGTTCCTGAGGGAAATTGGCCTGTAATTCTCTTTCTTTTTTGAGTCTTTGTGTTGTTTGGGTATCAGGGTCACTGTGGCCTCATAAAATGAATTTGGCAGTGTCCCTTCTCTTTCTGTTTTGTGGAATAATTTGAATAGTGTTGGGTATTAGCTCCTTGAAAATCTGGTAGAATTCTGCACTAAACCTGTCTGGCCCTGAGCTTTTATTTCTGGTCGGGAGACTTTTAATGACTGCTTCTATTTTCTTAGGGGTTATAGGTCGATTTAAATTGTTTATCTTTATTTAACTTAGGTATATGGTATCTATCAAGAAATTTGTTCATTTCTTTTAGATTTTCCTATTTGGTGGAATATAAGTGTTTGAAGTATGACCTAATGATCTCAGTTTCTACCAATAATTGGAAAAATGGGGGGTTAGATGAGTAAAATATGATATTTATCACAGCAAATATCTTTTTCTAAACATTAGAAGAGACAAAAAGGAGGGAGGACTATCAGGTGTCAAAGTGAGAGTAGCAGCAAGGGGCTGTTACATTTAGAGTAACTAAGTTAACTGTAAATATTTACTTTTAGTACATAATTAGAAAATTTAACATTTTTGTGAGTATTTGCAAATAATAACAAGGAGAAGATTGTTCTGAAGGTCCCATTCTCCCTATTTTAACATAGCTAGGAAAGAGGACATTATTTCAATGCAGAATCTAGATACCTACACAAGCATTTTTAAAAATTTTGTGAATTCAGCCCCTCTTCTATGTTTCCCCACATATTTGTTACTTTGAATTTTCTGCCAAAGAATTCTCAGTACCTGTCTTACTTTGTTTGTTTGTTTATTTTCTGTGAAGAAACACAGCAACTCCTGTAAAGAGAAAATTCAATTGGGGTGGTTTACTTACAGTTTCAGAGGTTCATTCCTTAAGCATCATGATGCAGAACATGGCTTCTAGGCAGATATAGTGCGGGAGCCGAGAGTCCTACATCTTGCAAGCAACAAGAACTAAACTGCCTGTCACAGGAAAGGAAGGATGAGCAAAAGGAACTTCAAACCAGCCCCCACAGTGACACACTTCCCCCCAAATTTCAGACCTCCTAATGGTGCCACTTCCTTTGTGGACATTTTCTTTCACCATAATACTTTATGTTTAGGAATAAATGGATACCTATGTAGTTTTTTGAAGCAGTTATAAAATTACAAATATATCATATACTGGAAATTTAGACAGAAACCAGAAAGACATTGAGAATTAAGAAGTAAACTCACTGGGCAGTGGTGGCACACAACTTTAATCCCAGAATTTGGGAGGCAGAGGCAGGTGGATCCATTTGAGTTCCAGGTCAGCCAGTCTACAGAGCAAGTTCCAGGACACCCAACAAAGTTAAAGAGAAAATCTGTCTTGAAAAACAAAAACAAACAAATGAACAAATAATAAGAAAATAAAGTTCTGTGTAACACAGAAATCAAGTAGTCAAGTCTCCAGTCATCTATTAAGGTTTATCCATACCATTCCTCTTATTTGCAATTTGGAAAAAAAAGAAGAATAAAGAGAAGAGGAGGAGGAGGAGGAGGAGGAGGAGGAGGAGGAGGAGGACAAAAAGATATTTTCCCACTAGATTTATTTGTGAAAGTCCATGAGGAGACTTCTGAGGTACATCATATATTCTCCTACCTACCTTCTGTCATTGCTGATACCACTCCCTTCTCCTCATGACTGTGGCACACACCTGACTTGCCTGTGCTACTCTGTGTGGCAGTCTTGAAGGATGTACTCATTGTACTATAGGAAGTCAGTAGTGTTTCATCTGGGTTGCCTTATTCCTTTTCAATTGTTTTTCTCATTCTACCTTTGCTCAGAAAACTTAAAGCACATTTGCAAATCAATGAGTGGTTATAACTGTTACGATAAATCTTTCTACCATAAGCTGCCTGAGCCCTACCGCCATGTGTGAGCTTTACGCCAGTTGCCCACCCGAGTTAGGGCCCAAATGATTACACAGAAACTTGTATTAGGTACAATGCTGCTTGGCCAATGACTAGGATTCCTCATCTGTTAGCTCAGTCTCAATTATCATAAACATATATTTTATAAGACTTATCTTATTAGACACCTTATTGGCGTCCCTCCTTGTCAGTGGATCACATCATGGCGCTGGAGCAGGAGCCGAGGGGAAAAAGGAGAAAACTTCCCGTTTCTCCTCGCTCAAATATGAGTCTCCTTGCTATGTCACTTCCTGCCTAGACCACCACTTCTCTACTACATCTCCCAGAATCCTCTTTGACTCCTAGTTCCGTCTAACTTGCTGTCTCATTGGCCAAACAGTATTTTATTTAACAATTAATAAGATAAACATACACAGTACATTCCCCATCACACACAGGCAAGGGCACCATACATGTGCACACATACTTGTAGGGAAAGGAGATGTTGTTTTCTTAAAATTACTTCCTGCTGAAATGGGCCACTGTGACTCCATGGGATCCTGTAGAAAAAAAAAAAAAAAAACAACAAAAAGACGGACAGTCACCCAAAGTTCTTCTCTAATGGGGCATCCATCTTTAGCCATAGGCCACAGTGTGTCTGGCATACTTTTCCATTTTAACAGGAACCCTTCAGTACTGTCTTGTTTTGTAAGTGTAACAAACAGTCTAGTCAAGAGCAGTTTCTTGTCCAAATGGCTAATCTTGTCATCTGAAAAGAAAATTTCAAACCAAGTTTCTTCGATGCCCATCCTCCTTTCTGACATAATTGGTGTGCCAGGAGCAGTTGTGTCTCACTGCCAAGAAAAGCCCTAAACCATTTAAATGCCTTTTTTTTTAGGTCTTTGAAAGGTTTGAAGAATACCTATCTGTTTTAAATACATCTCTGTAAATCTAGAAAACCTAACTAACCTAATTATAAGTTCTGACTATTATAGGTAAAAGATCTGTATAAACAGAATACCTAAACAAGAGGAGACATATACATGTCACAAAATTGACCTTAAAGTTGTATCAATAAATGAAAATCTATACCAATGTAAAGTATTAATTCCTATATCCTTTTCCCCTTTTTTCTTTAAAAAAATTGTCTATGCTCATTATTATTTATATCCAACCCCATTTAAATGAAAACAAACTTTTATAAACAATATTTGGGAAT